ATATATATATATATATATATATATATATATATATATATATATAGCATTAGTGTATTTTTCACCCCTAATGCACAAACAACTTAAAAAAGGGTTTCATTATTTTGGTGAAAACTTTTTTTCATAGCAAGGTTGACATTTGCATGGAATTGCTCAAATGTCCCCTGTGTGTGTGCGTGTGTGTGTGTGTGTGTGCGTGCGTGCGCGCAGTTTGTGTCAGGTTCAGTCGTAGCCTGTAGTGCCCATATCAACAGTTGCTCATAGACACTCACACCAGTAAAGGGCAGTGTGTGGTAAGTGTGTGTTGTAGTGTCAGACAGCTGCGATGACATTGGCCAGCAGCGCCTGCAGGTTTCACTGAGCTTTAACGCACACTCTTCACTCCTGCATTTCCACTGCATCGCTCACTTGTTATTTTTAGCTGAGACTAAACACGTAAAGGACGACACCGCTTTCACTGCGCCGGCTGAATGTGACCTTCTCACAATATTAATTAACTCACCTCCAGTATTTACACACTTACTGAATATTTTTAATTGTATGCTGCTGGTAACCTTTCCTTTTTTTGCCTGTTATTCACAAGGACGTTCTAGAAGAAATGAAGCTGTGCATGGAGACGTCTGTCAGTGTTTTCCCAGTGGAAGCCTGTCAGCCTGAGGCTGGTGCTGGCCAGTAAATACTGCTAGTTTAGTCATAATATTTGATGGCATATTTCACTTTTTACACAGTCTCACCAATGTATGTGTAGGAAATGTCAAAATAGAAGGAAAATTCATAAGCATTATTTCTACTCTTTAATGTTTATGTGTCAGATTCATGTCAAATTGAAATTAAATTACAAAAGACATTATTTTACACAAACATATTACATATATAGCAACTCGATTATCTAATTATGTATTATTATTATTCATCTTATTATGCATTTAAAAGTGTTTAATTGATTTTTTTAAAATAGTTTTTGTTCTTATATGGATGCATGTATACTCACCGGCCACTTTATTAGGTACACCTCTCCAACTGCTTTTTAACAAATTTCTAATCAGCCATGGCAGCAGCTCAATGCATTTAGGCATGTAGACATGATCAAGACGATCTGCTGCAGTTCAAAGTGAGCATCAGAATGAGGAAGAAAAGGGATTTAAGTGACTTTGAATGTGACATTGTTTTTGGCGCCAGATGGGCTGGTCTGAGTATTTCAGAAACTGCTGATCTACTGGTGTTTTCACGCACAACCATCTCTAGGGTTTACAGAGAATGGTCTGACAAAGAGGAAATATCCAGCGAGTGACAGTTCTGTGGGCGCAAATGCCTTGCTGATGCCAGAGGTGAGAGGAGAATGGCCAGACTGGTTTCAGCTAATAGAAAGGCAACAGTAACTCAAATAAGCACTCGATACAACCGAGCTCTGCAGAAGAGCATCTCTGAACACACAACACATCCAACCTTGAGGCGGATGGGCTACAGCAGCAGAAGACCACACCGGGTGCCGCTCCTGTCAGCTAAGAACAGGAAACTGAGGCTACAATTCACACAGACTCACCAAAACTGGACAATAGAAGATTGGAGAAACGTTGCCTGCTCTGATGAGTCTCCATTTCTGCTGACACATTCGGATGGTCGGGTCAGAATTTGGCCTCAACAACATGAAAGCATGGACCCATCCTGCCTTGTATCAATGGTTCAGGCTGGTGGTGGTGGTGTAATGGTGTGGGGGAGATTTTCTTGGCACACTTTGGGCTCATTAGTACCAATTGAGCATCGCGTCAACGCCACAGCGTACCTGAGTATTGTTGCTGACCATGTCCATCCCTTTATGACCACAGTGTACTCATCTTCTGATGGCTACTTCCAGCAGGATAACGCGCTATAAAGCGTGAATGATCTCAGACTGGTTTCTTGAACATGACAATGAGTTCACTGTACTCAAATGGCCTCCACAGTCACCATATCTCAATTCAATAGAGCACCTTTGGGATGTGGTGGAACGGGAGATTCATCATGGATGTGCAGCCGACAAATCTGCAGCAACTGCATGATGCTATCATGTCAATATGGAGCAAAATCTCTGAGGAATACTTTCAATACCTTGTTGATTCTCTGCCAGGAATGATTAAGGCAGCTCTGAAGGCAAAAGGGGTCCAACCTGACCTAGTAAAGTGTACCTAATAAAGTGGCCGGTGGGTGTATATATGTGTGTTTGTGTGTGTATACACTGGTTTCATTAAAATATATATACAGTTTTCTATTTTTACTTCCAGTTATATATCACTTAATTGTTTATTTGCTCATTCATTTATTTATTAATTCCTTTAATTAATAAAAATGCTCCCGGACAGGTCATGTATTCATTTATTAGTCTCTATCAGCTGAACTATTTTAAAGTGTTTGATCTGTGGTGATCCATGCCATCTTCCAGACATTGCTGAAGGATATCAACTTGTGTTTAATATATGACGTGATTCCTGTAGCAGATTTAGTTAGTGACCGTGTGAGTGTGTGTGTACATGTGTGTGGGAGTGTGTGTTTTTGTGTGTGTATCTGTGTGTGCACTCTGTCAAAACTGTATATGTATTTATAACACCCTGACAATGACACACACACACACACACTGCTGCTATCAAGGTCACATCTCCCTCCTTAGTCTTTCCCTTTCCTTCTCTCTGGACGACGTGTTACAAACAAACCCGTGTGTGTGAAGTGTCAGCGTGAACTGGTAGTTTAGTGTGTGACACTGATTCACTGTTAAACTGAGCTGCAGCCTGTGTATTCCTCCTCACAGTGTGTGTGTGTTTCCTCAATGCAGAAACAGCCCCTGATCCTCAGTGTTTGAGCCTCCCTCCTCTTCACAGCATCACTGCCTTGTGTTTCTGACTGCAGTGTCTGTGTGTGTGTGTGTGTCCCGCAGGCAGCTGTATGCCGCTGAGACGTCATGTCGACTGCAGGACAGAGGACGAGACAAGCTGAAGGACGCAGCACTGAAGCCGAGTGTGTCCAAAGAGGAGTACTTGAAGATGATGGAGCCGCAGAGCCCAGCGGGAGAGAGGAAGGTGCGCTCAAAACAGCACAGACACACACACACACACACACACTCTCTCGCACAATATCAATATATTGTTTAAAGTCAGAAGGTCCTCAGAATCTTTTATCAATCTTTTCTTCACTTCTGGTCACACGGAATGCCTTCGGGGCGGGGCTATGAGTCTTTTTGGTTGGAGCTATCAGTCCTTTAGGGCAGGACTATTAGTAATTTAGGGCGGGGCTGTCCATCCTTTAGGGCGGGCCTATCAGCTCTTTAGTGAGGGGCTATCAGTCCTTAAGTGCAAAACTATCAGTCCTTTAAGGTGGGTCTATCAGTCCTTTAGGGCATAACTAGCAATTATTTAGGCCGAGGCTCTCAGTTTTTTAGAACGGTGCTGTCAGTCCTTTAGGGCAAGGCTAACAGTCCTTTAAGGCTGGATTCTTTGTCCTTTAGGGCGGGGCTATCAGTCCTTTTGGGCGAGGCTATCAGTCATTTAGGGCGGGGCTATCAGTCCTTTAGGGCGGGGCTATCAGTCCTTTAGGGCGGGGCTGTCAGTCATTTAGGGCGAGGCTATCAGTCCTTTAGGGCGAGGCGATCAGTCCTTTAGGGCAGGGCTGTCAGTCATTTAGGGCGGGGCTATCAGTCCTTGAGGGCGAGGCTATCAGTCCTTTAGGGCGGGGCTATCAGTCATTTAGGGCGGGGCTATCAGTCATTTAAGGCAGGGCTATAAGCCATTTAGGGTGGGGGATTCAGTCATTTAGGGGGGGGTCCTATCAGCCATTTAGGGCTATGCTATCAGTCCTTTAGGCCGAATTTCTCAGTCCTTTAGGGCAGGGCTATTACTCATTTAAGGCGGGGCTATCAGTCATATAGGGGTGGGGCTATTTTTGATTTAGGATGGGGCTGTCAGCCATTTAGGGCGGGGGTCTCAGTCCTTTAGTGCGGGGCTATCATTCATTTCGGGTGAGGCTATCAGTCCTTTAGGGCGGGGCTTTCAGTCATTTAGGACGAGGCTGTCAGTCCTTTAGGGCAAGGCTGTCAGTCATTAAGGGTGGGGCTATCAGCCATTTAGGGCGAGGCTATCAGTCATTTAAGGCGGGGGTCGCAGTCATTTAGGGAGGGCCTATCAGTCATTTAGTGCGGGACTATCAGCCATTTAGGACGGGGGTTTCAGTCATTTAGGGTGGGGCTATCAGTCCTTTAGGGCGGGGCTGTCAGTCCTTTAGTGCGGGGGTCTCAGTCCTTTAGTGCGAGGCTCTCAGTCCTTTAGGGCAGGGTTATCAGTTATTTAGGGCAGGGTTATCAGTCATTTAGGGCAGGGCTAGTTCGTTGCTAAAAGTGATACAGCTGTGTTTAGCAGTTTATGAATATTTATTAAATTACCCAATAAATGCATTTTATTAAGGTCTACTCCCACCCCAACCCTAAACTTATCCCTCACAGTACTGTAAAGACTGTAATTATACAGAGTATTATTCAATTTATGAATTAAATTACCCATTAAATTGCATTTATTTATGCCTACTGTTGTACAGTATCACAAAAATGATGCTATGTTGATGTGCGTACTCACAGCTGTATCCCTTCTAGACTTTCCCATAAGGCTATCAGTCTTTTAGAGCGGAAATATAAGTCCTTAGAGTGAGGCTTTTGGGCAGGGCTATCAATATTATAGAGTGGGGCTATCAGTAATGTAGGGTGACGCTAGCAGGCTGTGTCTTGTTTCTGCCCTACCTTCATCCATTGGTCAATCTTCTTTCATTTAGCAACGCCCACCTTCCAACAATCCAATCAGTTCACAAAAGACGAAATCAAGCACCACCCTGTTTTCTCATTTCAGAACCGTTTCAAGTGGATGTACGTCAGACTTTAGGAAAAAGGACAAAGTTAACTTAGCTTTTTTAAATATTTAGCACAGTAAAACCATGTTTTTGATCATCTTTTTTAGCATATACTTTAGCATATACTAGTCATGTGTGTTTTAACAGAACATGCACTCTCTCCTGTCAAGTCAAGTCTTTCCGTTGGCTCTGATTAGTATGTGAAGGCAGTCACACACACGCTGATAACCTCAGTGAGCGAAGCCTGAACAAACATGTGTGTGTGTTATCAGCCCGAGCCGCTTCTGGACACACACAAGATAAGAAGCGTCTGCGTTTTCCTCATCTGATGGACCAGTTTTCCGGCATGTTCTGGATTACCGGGAGGAAGTTGTTGTGTGTTTTGAAGTCTCCTCTGCTCCTGGAGACGCTCATAATTGTGTTTCGAGTCCCCGCGTGTCTCCCAGCGCCCGTTATCTGCACAGTGGTCTATTTTTGGTGGTGTGTGATGGCCTTAGAAGCAGACGGGTCAGTGTGTGCTGAATTGAGAAGGAGAGATGCTGTAGACTGATATCAACCACATTACTTTTTATCAGCACTTTTTTTTTAGTTGCTATTGTTTTGTTTGCAGTTGCTAGATAGTTGCTAGGGTGTTGCTAGGGTCAATGTTTACTGGTCTAGTTCCGCTTTTTTGAAATAGGTTCATTTTACAGCTCCCCTACAGTTTAGATTTACCATTTTTGAATTCATTCAGCCGATCTCGGGGTCTGATGGGAGAACTTTTAGCTCAGCTTAGCTTAGCTCATTAAATTGGATTAGAACATTAGCATTTAAAAATCTCAAAAGACATTTTTTTTGAGAATTTCTTATTTAATGCTTGACGTGTCTGCAGTTACATGTTGTACTAAGACTGAAGGAAAATGAAAAGCTGCTGTTTACCTGCTTCAAAATGCACCACACATTCTCTACTGGAGACAGGTCGGGACTGCAGGCAGGCCACTGAAATACCTGTATCCTCTTCCTCCGCAGCCAGGACTTTGTAATGTGAGCGGAATGTGCTTTTGCCTTGTCTTGTTGAAATATGCATGGGCGTCCCTGGTAAAGAAAGCAGCATATTGTGCTCCAAAATCTCTATGTACTTTTTAACATTAATAGTGCCATCACTGAAGTGCAAGATACCTTTGGTTACTAAGGACACTGACACAACCCTTGTTGCTGGTAACAGTCTGAATGACCCTTTTCTTCTTTGATCCAGAGCACATGGCTTTCATTTCTCCCCAAAAAAATTCCTAAATTGCTGATTCATCCGAGTAAAGTACAAATTTCCACTGTGTGATGGTCCTTTTCAGATCCCTCCGAGCCCAGAGAGGGCAACGGCGCTTCCGGACACTGTTAACATAGGGCTTCCTTTTGGCACACTACGGTTTTCACTGGCATTTGTGAATGTAACTACGTATTGTGGTACTTGACAAAGGTTTACCAAAGTAGTCCTGAGCCCATGTGGTGATATGGCTTAAGGCTTGATTTATTATTCTACGTCAAATGCATGCGTATGCTACGGCGTTGACGCATAGCCCTACCCCATCGGCGTGGCTGATGTGCAAAAATGTAACTACACGTCGTAATGACGCGTAGCGCAAGCTCTGTGATTGGTCGGCTTGGTAGCGCTGACGAGTCTGGGCGGGACTGAGAGCCGTGCAAATGGCGCAACCCAGATAGAGCGATTGTTTACAAGTGTGGAGTCCCGTGAAAGAGCTCCGGATGGAAAGTTTTGTTTTGTGTTTACCTCATAGTTAAAGTTAAGTGTAGTGCGTTCAGGAAAAGCAATACACTAGCGAAGAAACTCGACACAGAGGAACATTAACACCTCACTGCCAACTACCGTTTCGGAAGTGTTAATGCAGACCAACAGAGACAGCGCGCAGAAGTATAAATGCACAGCTACACGCGTTGCATGCGCCATGGGTTACGCCGTTCACTTGACGCAGAAGTATAAACCAGGCGTTATACAGTGCATCCGGAAAGTATTGATAGCGCTTCACTTTTTTCACATTTTGTTTATGTTACAGTCTTATTCCAAAATGGATTAAATTCATTTATTTTATCAACATTCTACACACAATCCCCCATAATGACAATGTGAAAAAAGAGTTTTTGAAATCGTTGCAAATTTATTACAAGTAAAAATGCTGAAAAATCATCAGTATTTACAGCCTTTGCCGTGAAACTCTAAAATAAGCTCAAATTACATTCAAATCAAATCAAATCACTTTTATTGTCACATCATCAGCAGCACGTGTGCTACGATGAGTAAAAAAGCTTAGGTGCTGGCTCCAGACAATGCAAATACAACGACAGTACAAAATACAGACAGTGCTGTGATTAGGCTTAACACCATTGTGTCATCAGCAAATTTAGCAATGTTTCCACTGATCATCCTTGAGATGTTTCAGCAGCTTCATTGGAGTTCACCTGTTGTCAGTGCAGTTCATTGGACATGATTTGAAAAGGCGTACATCTGTCTATATTGACCTTATTCTAAAATGCGGAACTGCGCCTGTTTTCGTGATTGTCTTAGAACTTCCGATTCAGTCGCCTATGGGAGAAATGACTAGGAATAATAAACGGCAAAAAATGGCCAAACTACTTGCTCAACAAACAAATGTTTGCATGACTACACAGACCAAGTAGCATAATATAATAAGAAAATATTAAATTGCAACATCAAGCACCGTAACGAGCAGTTGTTAACGTCAAAAAATGAATGGAAGTGAATGTGACCGGAAGTTGCGAGACAAAAAGATTCAAATGGCAGCGCCCACTCGACAGCTGAGAATAAGGTGAATAAGGTTCCAGGGTTGACAGTGCATGTCAAAGCACAAACCAAGCATGAAGACAAAGGAATTTATTTATTTATTTTATTTTATTTAGAAAATTGCTTAGGCTTGTGCCGTTGTCCTTTGCACACTAAAATTCCTCTGAGATTCCTTGAATATTTCAATGATGTTCTGCACGGTTGAAGGTGAAATATCCAAATGTCTTCCTCTCTTTCTTTGAGGAACTATTTCCATAAATTTCTTGCATTTTTGTTGGGAAACGGATCCCCGGCCTTTTTTTTTTCTCCTAAAGGACAAGCCCTTTTGTGCTAAATCACAATTACAATTACCTGCTGACATCACCTTTGTAATATCACATCATTGTCCAACCAGTTTACCTGATTACCAGCTCCTGTCCCAACTGTTTTTGGGATGTGTTGCTGGTCTGAATAACAGGAAAGGATGTAAATTTACAAACAAAGTGAATTTGATCAGACAAAACATCAAATATTTTGTGTTCATATTGTCTGCAATAAAATACAAGAGAGAGTAAATCTGGAAACCACTTCTTTATTTTTTTATTTGGATTTTCCGTACTTTCCCAACATTTGACCTAGGGTTTTACCTTTTCTTCAAAAAAATATTACATACTTTTAGGACATAAGCGAACTGGGACTCAGCGTGTGTGTGTGTGTTTGTTTGTGTGTGTGTGTGTGTGTGTGTGAGGCCATAGACGGGAGAGCTTGAAGGAGATATTGAGGTGTTCATGCTTAAGCGCTGGGATTTGAATGGGATTTGAGTCTAACGGAAGTGAAAACACAGGGCGGGTTCGAGCCCGAAGGCTTTTAGCTTCTCCGAGTCCCGTGTGTGGTGACGTCTGCTTTCCCTCCAGTGACGGCGGCGGTTCAGCGAGCAAACGTTTTTGATCAAGTTTCAAGTAGTGGATGATGTATTGTGTGCTATAAATAAAATCAACAGGATCAAGTGACTGCGCTTGGGAACGAACCGACTTCCTCTGGCTCACGCTCTGAATGGAGAACATATATAGTGTGTCTAAAGGGCTTTGGCACAGTTTAAGCTTGTTAGCTCATGGGTATGTGTTCGATCGAGAGAGAGAGAGAGAGAGAGAGAGAAGTTTTAATATGTAAGTCTGTTCCCAATACTAGTGTGCTGTCTAAATAAATGTCTTTTAAAGGGACAGTACAGACCAAAATGAAAAATTCCTCACCGTTGCCCCAACACTCAAGTGGATCTAAACTTATATGCATTATTTCTGAACACAAAATTACATTTTCTGAACAATATCTGTCAATAACATCTATATTACGGACAACAAATACTATGGCTGTCAATGGCAGCTTTTCCTACATTTTACCCCTGCTGAAAAATCCAGCTTAAACCAGCCTAGGCTGGTCGACCAGCTTGGTTTTAGAGGGATTTTGGCCACTTCCAGGCTGGTTTCCAGCCATTTATATATATATTTATTATTTTTACCAAATGATATGCTGACATTTAAGATACCTAAATTTGTCCAAACTTTATTTTGGGATTATATACATCCTTATCAGAGAATGCATTCCCAGAATGCCTTGCAATAATCTATAAATGTATTTTATTTTATTTATTTATTTATTTGTTTCATTTTGACCAAAAATACAGTAAAAGCAGTAAAACTGTTTAAATATGGTAAAATATATTTAATCTTCTGATGCAAAGCTGAATTTCCAGCATCATTACTTACACTTCAAGACATTTTTTTATTGTCTCTGATAAATATATTTTATATATAGTTTGAAAATAGTAGAATTTCATAAAAAATAGTAATAGTTTTAAGATATTATAAATATATTTACTGTGAATTTTTAATAATACAACAGTGCATCCTTGCTGATTAATAATTCTTTTATATATACATATATATATTTATTAAATAAATAATAATAATTTGACCCATTTTGAACAAAAATAAATGTCATAATAAAATGTTTCTAAAATTACTTAATTTTTTTATTAAGTTGTTATTTTTGTGTATATGTTTATCAAATAAATAATAATAATTTTGACCCATTTTGAACAGGAAAGTAAATGTTACTGAAGTCTTACTAAACTAGACTTATGTATTTTTGTTTTTTAGAGAAGAATGTGGTCAGGTTAATAACATCAGTCTGGACCAAAATAAACAAGATCAACACACTACAAATGTGAACATGCTAAAGTTTTCCTTTATAATGCTTCATTTAAGTTATGATGTTATGATATTTACTATGAGTTACAGCACAGCCGGTGACTTCTACTTAGTTTGTTTTACATGAATGCATTTGACAGACTCCTTTATCCAAAGCAAATTGCATTCAAGTATACTTTAGCTCACTCCAGGAGAAGCACATGTCTTCAAATAGACCTGAAAACTCAACTGTTCTATATAGTGATGCACGGGCCCCGGGGCCACACTTACTCCTCTCATCCAGCTGACCAAATATGGCTGCGCTTTAGTCTGAAGCGGAAGAGCAGCAACACACACTCAACAGTGCACAGCAGCTGCAGATAAAGAACAGGCTGTATTTATAACATCCTGCTGTTTAAAGACACAGTACAGTGAAGAGTTTCCATTCATTCAGTCCAAAACAAACCCACTAACTGCCTCCTGCTGAGAGAGAGATAGAGGAGAACGCCAGGGATTAAATTGTGTATATATATCTTTATATGATACGTTTAATTTACGAGGATTCTTCCATGAATAGAAAGAACAGCTTTTGATTTAATCTGATTAAAATATCTTTAGCTGTCACTTTTGATCAATTTAATGCATCTTTGCTGAATAGCAGCATTTATTTGTGTTAAAAATGAGTGAAAATAAGAAATTATACCCCTAATTTTACACTACACTCACACTAACAGGGTGTCTCTTAAAATAAGATCCTTACAGGTTTTGTGTGTGGTCGATGCTTGTTATCTTGACTATTCTGGGACTTTGGTCATACATATGTTTGTAGAAGATTTGCAATTAAATATCTAATAAGAATATCAAAATGATATATACACTCACCGACCACTTTATTAGGTACACCATACTAGCACCAGGTTGGACCCCCTTTTGCCTTCAGAACTGCCTTAATCTTTCGTGGCATAGATTCAACAAGGTACTGGAAATATTCCTCCGAGATTTTGCTCCATATTGACATGATTGCATCATGCATTTGCTGCAGATTTGTTGGCTGCACATCCATGATGTGAATCTCAAGTTCCACCACATCCCAAACGTGCTCTATTGGGTTGAGTTCTGGTGACTGTGGAGGCCATTTGAGTACAGTGAACTCATTGTCATGTTCATGAAACCAGTCTGAGATGATTCACGCATTATGACATGGTGCATTATCCTGCTGGAAGTAGCCATCAGAAGATGGAGACACTGTGGTCATAAAGGGATGGACATGGTCAGCAACAATACTCAGGTAGGCTGTGGCGTTGACACAATGCTCAATTGGTACTAATGAGCCCAAAGTGTCCCCAAAAAATATCCTTTTTATGTTGTTGAGGCAAAACTCTTAACACCATCCAAATGTGTCAGCAGAAATGGAGACTCATCAGAGCAGGCAACGTTTCTCCAATCTTCTATTGTCCAGTTTTGGTGAGTCTGTGTGAATTGTAGCCTCAGTTTCCTGTTTTTAGCTGACAGGAGCGGCACCCGGTGTGGTCTTCTGCCGCTGTAGCCCATCCGCCTCAAGGTTGGACGTGTTGTGTGTTCAGAGATGCTCTTCTGCAGATCTCGGTTGTATCGAGTGCTTATTTGAATTACTGTTGCCTTTCTATTAGCTGGAACCAGTCTGGCCATTCTCCTCTCACCTCTGGCATCATCAAGGCATTTGCACCCACAGAACTGCCACTCACTGGATATTTTCTCTTTTGCAGACCATTTTCTGTAAACCCTATAGATGGTTGTGCGTGAAAATCCCAGTAGATCAGCAGTTTCTGAAATACTCAGACCAGCCCGTCTGGCACCAACAACCATGCCACGTTCAAAGTCACTTAAATCCCCTTTCTTCCCCATTCTGAGGCTTGCTTTGAACTGCAGCAGATTGTCGTGACCCTGACGTTCCTAAATGCATTGAATTGCAGCCATGTGATTGGCTGATTAGAAATTTGCGTTAACGAGCAGCTGGAGAGGTGTACCTATTAAAGTCGCCGGTGTGTGTATAAACAATGAATGATATTTTGTTCATTTTTTTATTTGTGTACTTCTCTGATTAGTGTCTACAGATGTGTGGGTGGGATCAAATTGACAATCACATTATTGACCAATTACAAAGTAAAAATCATCCAATGAATTCTCCATGGACATCATAAGCCCGGAAAAGTATATTTGATCCAATTGGAAAGATTTTGGACTTGTCATTTCATACTGGCTTTAACAATAAATTCTTCATTTTAATTAAGTATTATCTGTAATTGACATTATATCTACATGTGTGTCCTCTGTCAGGCATCAGCAGTGGGTAGCGTTTCCCCTCGGCGTTCACTGTATCGCACACTGTCAGACGAGAGTGTGTGCAGCAGCAACAAAAAGGGCTCGTCGTATGCTAGCTCACGAAGCTCCATGCTGGACCAGGCCATGCCAAACGACATCCTGTTCAGCAGCACTCCAGCCTACCACAGCACACTACCCCCCCGCATCAGCCTCAGCCAAACCACATCCAACCTCAAGAGTAAGTACTACACCCTCACACACACTATATAGACAAAAAAAACACCCTGAGACTCTATATACACAATGACAACACCACATTCCAACCTACCACAGCACACTACCCCTAGCATCAGTCTCAGCCAGACCACATCCAACCTCAAGAGAGAGTACTACACTCTCAGATACACTATATAGACCGAAAAATGCACAGCACACTACCCCCCCGCATCAGTCTCAGCCAAACCACATACAACCTCTAGAGAAATTACTACACCCTCACACACACTATATAGACAACAAAACCACCCTGAGACACTATATAGACAACAACACCACCACATTCCACCCTACCACAGCACACTACCCCCTAGCATTATCTTCAGCTAGACCACATTCAGCCTCAAGAGAGAGTACTATACCCTCACAAACACTATATAGACAACAAACCACCCTGAGACACTATATAGACAGCAATACCACCACATTCCACCCTACCACAGCACAATACCCCTAGCATCAGTTCCAGCCAGACCACATCCAACCTCAAGAGAGAGTACTACACTCTCAGATACACTATATAGACCAAACCTCCTCAGGTACTATATAGACAACAACACCACAGCATACTACCTCCCCCACATCAGCCTCAGCCAGACCACATCTATCCTCAAGAGTGAGTACTGCACCACACTATATAGACCAAACGCCCTTCAGAAACTGTGTAGTCAACAGCACTACAGCACGCTACCCCACGCATCAGTCTCAGCCAAACCACATCTAACCTCAAGAGTAAGTACTACACCCTCACACACACTATATAGACAACAAAACCACCCTGAGACACTATATAGACAACAATAACACCACATTCCAACCTACCACAGCACACTACCCCTAGCATCAGTCTCAGCCAGACCACATCCAACCTCAAGAGAGAGTACTACACTCTCAGATACACTATATAGACCTAACCATGCACAGCACACTACCCCCTGCATCAGTCTCAGCCAGACCTCATCCACCCTGCAAGAGGCATTACGTATACTGTCAGATACACTATAGTAGACATCACAGGACACTAACCCCGCATCAGCCTCAGCCAGACCACATACGACCTCATGAGGGATCACTAAACTCTCAGGTACACTATATAGACATCCCAGTCACACTGCCCCCCGCATCAGCCTCAGCCAGACCACATCCAACCTCAAGAGGGATCACTAAACTCTCAGGTACACAATATAGACATCCCAGCCCACTGCCCCCCGCATCAGTCTCAGCCAAACCACATACAACCTCAAGAGAAATTACTACACCCTCACACACACTATATAGACAACAAAACCACCATGAGACACTATATAGACAACAACACCACCACATTCCACCCTACCACAGCACACTACCCCCTAGCATTATCTTCAGCTAGACCACATTCAGCCTCAAGAGAGAGTACTATACCCTCACAAACACTATATAGACAACAAACCACCCTGAGACACTATATAGACAGCAATACCACCACATTCCACCCTACCACAGCACAATACCCCTAGCATCAGTTCCAGCCAGACCACATCCAACCTCAAGAGAGAGTACTACACTCTCAGATACACTATATAGACCAAACCTCCTCAGGTACTATATAGACAACAACACCACAGCACACTACCTACTCATCAGCCTCAGCCAGACCACATCAAATCTCATAAGGGATTACTAAACGCTCAGTTACAGAATATAGACCAAACCATGCACAGCACACTATATAGACAACAACACCACAGCATACTACCTCCCCCACATCAGCCTCAGCCAGACCACATCTATCCTCAAGAGTGAGTACTGCACCACACTATATAGACCAAACGCCCCTCAGAAACTGTGTAGTCAACAGCACTACAGCACGCTACCCCTAGCATCAGCCTCAGTCAGACCACATTCAACCTCTAGAGGGAGTACTAAACTCTCAGATACACTATATAGACCAAACCTCCCTCAGACACTATATAGACAACAACACCACAGCACGCTACCCCCTCATCAGCCTCAGCCAGACCTCATCTAACCTCAAGAGGGATTACTGAACTCTCAGATACACTATATAGACATCCCAGCACACTGCCCCCTGCATCAGTCTCAGCCAAACCACATCCAATCTCAAGAGTAAGTACTACACCCTCACACACACTATATAGACAACAAAACCACCCTGAAACACTATATAGACAACAATACCACCACATTCCACCCTACCACAGCACAATACCCCTAGCATCAGTTCCAGCCAGACCACATCCAACCTCAAGAGAGAGTACTACACTCTCAGATACACTATATAGACCAAACCTCCTCAGCCACTATATAGACAACAACACCACAGCACACTAACCCCGCATCAGTCTCAGTCAGACCACATCCAACCTCAAGAGAGAGTACTACACTCTCAGATATACTATATAGACCAAATCTTCCTCAGGTACTATTTAGACAACAACACCACAGCACACTACCTCCTCATCAGCCTCAGCCAGACCACATCCAACCTCAAGAGCGATTACTAAACTCTCAGGTACACTATATAGACATCCCAGCACACTGCCCCCCGCATCAGTCTCAGCCAAACCACATCCAACCTCAAGAGTAAGTACTACACCCTCACACACACTATATAGACAACAAAACCACCCTGAGACACTATATAGACAACAATACCACCACATTCCACCCTACCACAGCACACTACCCCTAGCATCAGTCTCAGCCAGACCACATCCAACCTCAAGAGAGAGTACTACACTCTCAGATACACTATATAGACCAAACCAAGCACAGCACACTACCCCCTCATCAGTCTCAGCCAGACCTCATCCAACCTCAAGAGGGGATACTAAACTCTCAGATACACTATATAGACATCACAGCACACTAACCCTGCATCAGTCTCAGTCAGACCACATCCAACCTCAAGAGAGAGTACTACACTCTCAGATATACTATATTGACCAAATCTTCCTCAGGTACTATTTAGACAACAACACCACAGCACACTACCTACTCATCAGCCTCAGCCAGACCACATCCAACCTCAAGAGCGATTACTAAACTCTTAGGTACACTATATAGACATCCCAGCACACTGCCCCCCGCATCAGTCTCAGCCAGACCACATC